CTGTGCTGAAAAATGCATCTCCTCAGTTATAGATTCAAATGTTAGGCTAGCCATCTTCCTATGGGAGAAAGGAAGGGGTGCCTCATGTCATCTTTTGGGGCTGATTTTGATTCCAGGGCCTGGTTGAAGCATAATCCTTCAGGATCTCTGGAGGATGTTTAGCAGATCCAGGGGGTTGCCTTGCAGCTTTGTGTTCAGCTTCAGGAAAATACTTGGATGCTTCTCTACTGTTCCTCTGCTCCTCACTGGCCAAGGTTTGTTTTTTTGTTTTTTAGGTTGCTGCCATACCTAGAAGGTGATTTGGTAGGTTGTAAGGAAAAAAATTCATAGTCCCACACGTGCTTAATGTACAATATGCCTCCTAATAGAAGAGCTCAACCATAGTCTTTCTTCTGACAGTCAGAAATAATGGGCATAAACTGAAGATGGAGTCTAGCACTATAATCCCTCCCCATTTCCTAAACATGTATTGAATGTGTGCAAAGAACTGAACAAATGATGCACTTATTTGAGGAACTGATCCAAAGATTCTGGCCAAGATCCGATGCAATGGTTCCTTTGATCTCAAGAAGAAATGGAATGGAGGATCCCCCTTTGCCCATGGTAGCCCCATATGTAACTCTCAAAATCATTTTTGGGATCTTCCTGGGCTGGTTTTCAGGCAGAATGGAGGGCTACACATGGCAGGGGGGGGAACAGTGGAGAATAAATTTCTCTCATGCTAGCAGGCATCTGCTAGCATGACATCTACAAACAATTTCCTCCAAATCAATCTGATCTACCCTAGCAAGCACTTAATTCAGTACATTTTCAACTAATTTCTTTTTCCTGGGTTATCCATCCATATGTAGACCTCAGTTGTTACTAATTAGCCCATGACTCAAAATCCTTTGACAAATTGTTTATAGGACTGAATTTCATGCTGCAAGTTGCTCACGAATAACTCACTGTGACTACCGCTACAAGTGTTTGTTATTTGTGGTGAGTGACTGGTCTCAAAATGAAGAGAAAATAAAAAAAAATGTCATATGGTTTCCTTACTAACATGGATTCAACGTCCATCAACTGATACAACTTTGGAACTGGCTGAAGGATTAGTGCAGCATGCATTCGTTTCATCGCCACCCCACTCTTTCAAATGTTCTGCTAAATAGAGATTCCCTCACATATTGCTTGTAGAGTCGTTAGAAGGTTTGAGAAACTACAGTCAAGTGAATGTGCAAATTATGTCACTACAAATATTACTAATAAGATCTACAGTATCTACCACCAGTTCTGTCACAACTTTCTACAAGAGAAAGTGATGTAGACTTGGGTCAATTGACTCAGACTCAGCTTGCTTCAAAATGACACGACTTGGACTCGTCTTCACAATAAATGATGCATTGATTAGACTTGTGGTGTATACATTTTAGCAAACAATTTACTGGCCTAACATCTCCCAGAAATGATAAAGAATGGAAAATGGTTTTCCTCTTTTGAACAATTCTTTCATTTCACTGCTTTTTGCCTATTAATCATTTGATGGAGATGGTACTTTATCTTTATGCCCCACCTTAAACCTATTGCCTAATGTGTGTGCTCTTTCCCTCTGAAAAATGTGCCCTGTGCTATGGGAACAAGTCTTGTCTGATGCTCCTAGGCAAAGCTTTAGAAGGCCCCTCCAGTGTGCAGTGGGGACAGGCTGTTGAGCAGACCTTAAGCCTTTCCTTATGCCTAAAACGCCAGGCATGTTTCTTGGTGGGGGATGGCAAATGCATTAGGCAATGGGCTTGAGCCAGAAAGAGTGCAGTGGGAACAGGCTGCTGAGCAGACCTCAAACCCTGCCTTAAGCCCATCGCCTAACACTTTTGCTGTTCCTCTCTGTCACCTTTCAACTTTCAACAAATTTATTCATCAAACAAAGTCTCCCAAAATAAAGAGCAAAGAACAAAGGAAAAGAAAGCTTAATCCAATAGGCCCAGGATAGCCCTAGTCTTTAAGGAGGTGATGTAATCCTACATGTGCTTCACTACCTCTACTTCTTTTCCCTCCCAAATGCACAGCTGACCTGATAGTTTCTGAAGTAGAACCCCACAGCCAAGGAAGGAAGGCTGGACAGCATTAGGCTATATTTCTGATGCTGGAAACATAGGGCTTCTACAGACGGCACTTTGCACTGTCTTGAAGGGAGGGAAGGGGTGGGGCAACCACACGCCAGGCGCCCTAACCCCACGCTGAAGACGTCATCACGGCGTGCACTGTTCTGCATGGCACATGCCATCAGGACATCATCATGGCACAGCGTCTTAACACGCTGTGCCGGAAGAGGTGCAGAAGAGCTGCATGGTGGCTCTTTGGGTGCCCTTTTTGCTGCCTGTGAAAAGAGCAGTGTTTTGGCGCTTCTTTCCCAGGCGACAAAAGGGAGGATCGGGGCCGATGCATCTGGCAGCCTCAGGCTCGATCCTCCATTTCCCAGGCTGGCCCAAGGCCGCCCGTCTGCATCCCCCCATAGTAACTACTTCATTTTCCTAGATCTCTGGCAATGTGGGAGATCAATGCCTTCACTGTGTTCTCAGCTGCAGAAATGCCTCCTGGCCATCCCCAACCACTAATTTATTGTGACGCATGGCCCAACAGTGATCAAGTTGGGATACACATGGGGTTGTCATTGTGCAAGGGGATACAGAATACTCCTTGTGCAACAACCAAGAAAACATCTATGTTGCTAGTTGTGTGGTGGTGGTGGTGGTAAAAATAAATAAAAAAGTTCACCCTGTATTCACATACTAGTTCTGACTGGCTTTCCAAACTCTTTTGGCTTCTAAAATGGAGTTAGTGAACTATAAGATGGTGGTAGCTATGCCAAGCAAACTCTGGTTCCTCCCAGGGGAATTAGAAGGAAAGTTGATGTTAGCTGAGCACAGAAGAAACCTCCCAGTCCAAATTAAGAACAGTGCTGTGAGCTTTTAAAAACCCAATTAAAGTAAATATGTTGAAATGATTAAAAGGCACACACCATTTTTCAAGATAAAAGTTTATTATAGTTTTAAAAGGAAGCTCTTTAATTTGAAATGGAAAGTTTATGAAGCTGCAGGATAAACCTCAGCAAGAGAAAAATATAACAGTTTTCAGATGTTGCAAATATCAGACATTAACCCCAAGTGATCGTGCCACAGGCCTCTTTTCCTCAGTCCATGACATGAGCTTTGAGAAACTGGTAGGTGGCAGTCGCTGTCAGCTCTCCTTGTTCTCTAAATCCAGTCTTCTAAAGGTGAAGATTTAATAAAAGGAACACTTCCACGCCTAGTGATAGATGAAGGCATCTTCAAGCAAACTACTTTTAAAGACACCCCCTCTGACGAAGGAAGTCACTTTGCCATTTCATTATGGTTTTGCCCTCAAGTTGTTTAGCCCAAGGAAAGGCAAAAAGCCCAGAAGTAAATGGGAAGCCAGTTCTGGTTTTGGAACCACAGGCCTAAAACAGCCTGGTAGCACCAAACATACTAAAATGGCTCTTGCTCTCCCTACAAGAGTGGGATCATTTTAAGTTTAAAAGTTATTTTGAAAACACACACAAAATGCCTCAAAAACAGATTTTTGGGAAGGCTTATGTAGTCCACAAGCTGTACTTTCAGCACTCATCTCTTAAAAACAAAACTCCCAAGCATTGTAACCCTTCTTTATAGGAGTATTGCTCCATATCCTCCAGCTGTCCTGTTTTGACAGGGAGTGTCCCACTTAATCTTCTGTTATCCAACTTTTTCAGCTGCTTTTTAAAATGTTGCATTTTCCTTCTTCTTCTCTTGCTTTCCCCATTCATCCTCAGTTTACTTTAGCTGGTGCAAATTTGAGTTCAACATACAAAAATAATTTGCATTCAGGGGGGTTGCAGACTGCCAGAAATAGTGCAAACTGAGTCCACTTTTAGGGTTAGGGTTAGGGTTAGGGAATCATGGGAACTGTCATTTATTGTGGCACCAGAGCTCTCTGACAGAGAAGGCTCAATGTCTCATAAAAAAAAAAACAATTCCCATGATTCCCTAGCACTAACCCTAACCCTAAAAGTGGGCTCAATTTGCACTATTTCTGGCAGTTAACAGTGGGCAGAGAAGAGAGATGGGGCAGAATCTTGCCCTTCCAAGTTGTCAGGCAAAAACCAATTGCTGCCCCCTCTCTTAGCATGTTGTGTACATCCTCATCAATAACTTATGCTATCTTGACCACACTTCAATTTTGCTTGGCTGCACATGTCTGTGATATCATTCTTGTGGTGCAGTGACCTCTGTAAAGCTTCTGAGCAGGTTGGTATGACTAACAGCACATGCCTAGTGAAATGTAAATCCCATTGAATTCAATTTTGCTTACTCTCAGAAAAATGAGTATAAAATTGCATCCTGAACTGCCACAACCTCTTGCCCAGTGTTTTTTTTTAACTCGGTTAGAATCAAAGAATCATAGAGTTGGAAGAGATCCCAAGGGCCATCCAGTCCAACACCCTGCCATGCAGGAACACACAATCAAAGCATCCCCAACAGATGGCGATTCAGCCTCTGTTTAAAGACCTCCAAAGAAGGAGACCCCACCATTCTCCAAGAGAGTGCATTCCACTGTCGAACAGCTCTCACTGTCACAATGTTCCTCCTAATGTTGAGGCGGAATATCTTTTCCTGCAGCTTGCATCCGTTGTTCTGGGACCTGTTCTCTGGAGCAGCAGAAAACAAGCTTGCTCCATCCTCAATATGACACCCCTTCAAATATTTAAACAAGCTATAATATCACCTCTGAGCCTTCTCTTCCCCAGGCTAAACATGCCTAGCTCCAAGTCTCTTCCCATAAGACATGATTTCCAGAGCCTTCACCAGTTTGATCACCCTCCTCAGGTCCAGCTTCTCAACATCCTTTTTGAATTGTGGTACCCAGAACTGGACACAGTATTCCAGGTGAGGCTTGACCAAAGCAAAATAGAGTGGCACTATTACTTCCCTTGATCTATGTTAATCTGGTATATATCTGAGAAAACCAGTGTAGTATAATGGTTTGAATGCTGGACTACAACTCTGGAGACCAGGGTTTGAATCCCCACTTAGCCATGGAAACCTTCTGGGTGACCTGGGGCAAGTCACATTCTCTCGGCTTCAGAGGAAAGCGAAGGCCATCCCTCCAAACAGATTGTGACAAGAAAACCTTGTGATAAATTTGCCTTAGGGTCACCATAAGTTGGAAACAACTTGAAGGCACACAGCAACCAACTATAGGTATAATTTGTAGATACCTGAATTCATGATAGCTTTCCATGAAGTGAAGTTCCCATTCTCAATGAGACACAGCTGATTTCATCTAGGAATGTTAGTTAATCTGGACAAATATGAACTGGAAAGGAATAATCACTCCTAATGTAGCATATCAGCTTATTGAAAAGTTTAGCAGGACAGATGGTATAGATTTCATAGGTCTATATCACACACCTGCATTTTCGAATCCCACACTCATATTTTTAGATGCCACAGGTCACAAGAGCTAATCAATCATGTTTGAAATAACAATATGGTTACAGTCCTGTTGAGACTTTGTAATTTCAGACTGATGTTAAGGGCTGCATCCACACTGCAGAATTAATGCAGTTTGACACCGCTTTAACTGCCATGGCTCAGTGCTATGGAATCCCAGGATTTAGTTTGTTATAGCAGCAGAGCTCTCTATTAGAGAGCTCTGCTGCTACAACAAACTGCAATTTCCAGAATGTCATAGCATTGAACCATGGCAGTTAAAGCAGTGTCAAACTCCATTAATTTTGCAATGTAGATGCAGCCAAGGTATATTATGTTTTAGTGTTCTGTCACATGAAAACAGAAACAAAACTCCCAAACATAGACATTTCAGCTTGTTATGGAAAACGTTAGGCTTGGATGGGGTGCAGATAACAAGGGTTTCAAATCTTTGGGAGATTTTTTAAAATGCACATTCTACCACGGTACCTCCTTATTTATAAGCTAAAATGGTATAGTCCCACCACAGTTCTACCATACATAGAACAGCTTTTGAGACGCATTAAAAAGAAGATGAGAGCCAGTGTGATGCAGTGGTTTGAGCATTGAATTATGACTCTGGAGATCTGGGTTTGATTCCTCACTTGAGCACAAAAAAAAATCTACTTGGACAACTCACACCCTCTCACCTTCAGAAGATGGCAATGGCAAATCCTCCTCTGAAGAAACTTGCCAAGAAAACTCTATGATAGGTTCACAGTAGTTACAGTAAGTCAAAGATGACTTGGAGACACACAACAACACCAAGAAGGAAGCAGTTCTGGATACATATAAGTATATGGATGTTCATGTGCAAAAAAATGCAAAGGGCTTGTTCATACACAGTTTGTATAATACACAGTTTCAAGATCACATATGACAGAACATGTATGCATATCATGTTAGCCATTTTTTTAAAAGAGTGAGTGGACCACAAACAGAATAAATAAGCCACAGATGTTTTCTGTCTTCTCTATACACACTCTGGACCTTCTGTAAGGGGTGAATGTGTATTCCAGGCTAGCTTCCCAATCCCAAACTATATGAAGCCTTCGCAGTAGAGGTTTATTTGAAGAAATCTTGAAAGTTACAGTACTCAGGATATGACTGGAGTGAGCTATAGCTCAATGGTAGAACTCATGTTTTGGATCTGAAAAGTTCCAGGATTTTTTTTAGTAAGGCTGGTGCAAATTCCTGTCTAAACTCTTCCTCCCAACAACTGGTCATGATTACTGGGTCAGTGAGGATTCAAACCTTGGCCTCCAGAGTCCTAGTCCAATGCTCAAGGCACTACACTACACATCTCTACTCAGATGTAAATGCAATGGCACTTATTCATGGGTAAATAGCTATTAGGACTCTATTAGTACTCTGGATTCTATAGAAACCCAGTCCTTTGTTGGCTGGGACTCCTCATGGGTTTGAGGGGCCTGGGTCGAGGGGTGCCTCTCCTTCTCTAAATGATGCTCTGAATGGAGGACACTCAGGAAAGTAAGTAGGACATGACCAAAATAATAGGGGGCTGGAGGTGGAAGGGACTTGTGTGTGCATAGAGGGGGGTCTTTTGCCAGGCTGTGGGCTGGACCCAGGGGGGTCAGGCATCCTCTGTTTACAGGAAATGTCCTTCATTCCAACCTTATGTCCAGGAGGAATCTCAAAACATCCTCCACTTTCAGTATGACAAAGAAGCATTCCCTCTCTTTTTTCCTTGTGTGTCCTCCACTTTGCAGTGCCTTGTCCTCCTTTGTGGTGAGGACACCCGGTCACCCTGAGGTGACCCACAAAACACACACACACACACACACACACACACACACACACACACACACACAAACAGCATTTCCCACATCAAGATCTTAGGTCCTGCCCCAAGACCAAAGAGAGTGAGGCATGGGCAAGGAGGCTCTGGGCCCCTGGTGTTTCAATGCATCCCTCTTGACTCCTCTGTCTGTCTAGCCTCCCTTATCCTCAGTGACCAGATTTCACCACAAAAGAGGACAAGGCAACCCCCAAATGGCAGATACTCCAGGAAAAAGGAGGACGTTCTCAAATCAAAGCTGCAACACACTCTCACAGAGAAATGCCCATCCATGCTTCCCTCGCATGCTCCAAAGGGAGGACATTGGGGAATTCCACAGCCCCACAAAAGTCAAAAGACAGCACCACAGCAGCGCTGAGAAAAATGGCAGCTTGCCCAAAACCAGGGGTGGGATGGGTACCACCCCTCTGCCCACCCTAGTCCCTCCCCTCCAGTGCGATGCGATTCAGGTGTACCATTCCCACTTGCTGAACATGCTTTCTAATCAATCTTTTCACAAAAACCACCAAAAATACTACTCTTAAAAAAAAAAGCACTTTTGTGCATTTGTCTCACTTCAAGCAAGTCAGAGCAATCACAGTCGCATCTGATGCAGAATCCATCCAGTGTGAATGAGGCACATATAAAGTGATCAGCAAATCGCTTCAAATCATAGTGGGAATGAGGCCTTTGAGTGGTTCTGCCTGCTTGTGTGGTCAAGGCCATCAGTGACAACTCAGGGAAGCCCAGAAGAATACATTCTTCTTTTTCACAAACACAACCACAACGAGTGGGATGGCAGGGCTTCATGTTTATTCCCATCAGCGCAATCTGATAGTATTGAATTCGAACTGGTTTAAACAAAGAGCCATTGAACCCTTTTACAATGTAGTCAACATGGCTCTGATAAAGCCCCAAAATTGATTCCTCAGCGTAGACAACATGTCGCGACCCTTAATTTGTTTGTCAGACCCGAAATGTGAAATTTTCAACCCTGGCAATTTTCCCTTGCGGCAGGACACAGGGAGATACTGTAGTCGTTAATGTTAAACATTTAATCTAGAAATTCTGTTTGGTTACATCTCCAATTAGAAATGGTGATTTGAGCTATTTTGGCAGAGCTACGTATTAGTCAGGATCCTCAGAAGCTGAGGAGTCAGTACAGCAAAGAGGACCCAGTCACGACCTTCCTCAGACAGAACACCCACTGGCTTCTTGAACCACTTCCTCTGCTTTTGAGAAGTCAGCAGAACTCCAGAGAAATTGTTTCTTGGCCTGGTTGCCTTGCTAAACTAGGTCCATGAGGGAAATGTGTCTCTCTCAATGTGCTTGTTATAGCTTCTCTATAAAGATAATAGCTAGTCTTCAGAAAGCATTTCTTATCAGGAATGGTATCATTTTAAAATGAGTTTCTGTTTCATTTACAACAGGGTGGAATCACTGTGTGGCTTCCCATGTTCAAGAGCCTTAATAATTTGAGTCCACTTTTAGGGTTAGGGTTAGTGCTAGGGAATCATGGGAATTGTATTTTTTCTGAGACATTGAGCCTTCTCTGTCAGAGAGCTCTGGTGCCACAATAAAATACAATTCCCATGATTCCCTAGCCCTAACCCTAACCCTAAAAGTGGACTCAATTTGCACTATTTCTGGCAGTCTGCAACCCCCCTAAGACAATTTCTTTTCATAAAGATGAACTCCTCTGGAGGAAGAAACAGAAAAATAAAAGATATGTTCTCTCTCCTTTTCATGTAATTCATACTATGTGGAATTGTCTTGCTATGTTGTAGCTGAAGAGTCATGGGGTGGGTCTACATTGGCCAAAATACTACAGGCTGCTCCCAGAGTATTCTGGCCCCAGAGCTTCCTGAAATTCCTTGTTACCTGCACACCCTGGAGAAATGACAGCCTGCTGTCTACACACGCATCGTACTGTGCCACCTGGCACCATGAATTGCTCCCTCTGAGCTTGAAAGCAAAGCACCCAACATGGATTGCATCAGTGGCATCACTAGGGTTGGTGTCACCCAGTCTGATAATGCATGGTCTTACCCCCCATTGACCTCTCCCCACCTCACCCCATACAGAATCCTTAGTAATGTTTTTGATTAAAATGAACATTTGGTAAAATGTTATTTTTAAAAAAAAATAAAAAAATTTAAACTTTTTTTAAAAGTATCTTTTTGAAATTTGAAATTTTATTTTTTTAAAAAAAACCTGGGGCCTCTCCTTTCTCCTTCCACTGAGCCTCACCCCACTCGCCCCATCTCTTCAGCATTTGAATGGACACAGGTGAATGCCACAGCCTCTTTCTACCCAAAGGGTAATGTTTGAAGACCAGTGGTGTCATCCCCTCTTAGGTGTCACCTGGTGCGGTCCACCCCCCCATCCCCACAGCTCCTAGTAACATCACTTTATCACATGGCTGGGTACCTTGTTGGGACCTCAGAGGGAGTGATTTGCATCAGCAATGGCAGTGCCAGGGAACACAGTGGGAAGCATGGGCAAACAGCCGTGTTACTCCAGGGTGCTCTGGATTTTCCTGGACAATCCAGAGCAAAAGATAAATCTTTTTAATCCAGTTTAAGAAAGGGATGGTCATGATTCAGTGTGGAACTGGCTTCACATTGTGAAGACAGTCCACAGCTGAATTAGTGCTTTGACATTGCGTTGTGAAGACAGGACTCCATGAGGACAGGCAGAAACTGGCTCATTTGACCAGTGTAGACATGCCCACAGTCTGCTACTACCATTCCAGTCACTTCTTGGA